ATCGGGGCGATGACTAAGACATACAGCGAGCACAGGTTCTTTAGCTTACCTTACCTTTAGCTTTAGCGAGCACAGGTTCTTTATATTGATAAACATGCGCAAAACAGATCGTGCTTTATTCATGTTTTGTTAAGCACCAGAGCGGTCTTAGCATTGATGAGCTTTTCGGATGCTTTCTGGATAAATCTGGTGACAGCTCCCGCTTCTTCTCGCTGGCCGTTGAAGATGACACCACATCTCATGATACAAAGATGATATATTGATATAAATGATATAAATTGATATAAATGATATACATTGATAAATGATGATATAAATTGCATGGCCTGGTATTACTTATAGTCCTCAACGTTCCATTCTTCATTGGGCATTTTCTGGAATTAAAAATTTTGGACAAAGCCGATATCGCAGTACGTTTGTAAACAAGCCCTGCATTACTGCATTCTGGGTAGCGATGCTGTGACGTTATGATGGGACTAAGTCATATGGCACTAACGCTACGGCGTTGTGAAAACGCTGTCCTTTGCGGACTGGTTTATCCCATGACACATTTTCAGCTGGGAAACTGTGTTGGTTTGCACCAGAGTCACAAAGTTATTGCTGAAATTCGTTTACAGCTTGCCCCCGACAGATAGATGGGGCTACCCACCCATCAGTGATATATCCCACAGAACTTTAGCTGGAAGGGCTTAGAAACAGCCTGTATAAGAGAGAACAACATGCAACAACAACAACAGCAATGGACGAAAATGAGATACGGTGGGCCGGACGGGCTCGCAGCACCTTGGCATCCGCATTGAGAAGTTGGAATGCACATCCTGTAGCCTTGGGGAGAGCGTTGTCAGTGGGGATGCAGGGTTGCCTGCCCTTAACGGGGTGGTAAGTGGCGAACTCCGGGGGGGAGGGCTTAAATACATCGAGTGCCATTTCAGCCCAAGATGCGGAATTTTCCTGTAAAATGGGCCGATTTTTGGCAAGTTTTGTCATTTCTGCCAGTCAAAAAG